ATAGTCATGGACAAGCATCACCATCCGATGGTAGTCCACTTGGTTCCCCTACTAGTATCGGTCATGGATCTTAAACTATCGAGCTTTTACACGAGGCTCGCGGCTCCTACAACGATAAAGGCGGAACATCTATCGCGGTCATATAAGATGCCCCACCCTCACCGACACCGGAGGTTACCGTATTGGCACCACGAGTTCAAACGTCGACACTGGAGAGTGCCTCGTCTACTACCGTATATGCCGTTCCAAATAGTTCCTAAAGCTCCTCCAATTAACGACGTATTTCTATCGCTTGAGGACGGTATGTAATTATTTTTTAACTTTAATATATCATTTTAATAATTTTTTACTTTTTAATCTTTTTTTTTTGCTATTTTGATGTTCGATAATTTCACTCCACCTAATAGAGATTATGAAGTGAAGATAACCATGATTTTTAAAGAATGGTTGGATGTTAGTGGATCGGCTTGGAAGTCTATCTTCGACCTCACTAAACAATTCTACTTCGGTGAATTTAGGATAATGTATTATTAATTTTTATTATAATTAAAATAAAAAAATTACATTAAATAAAATTTTTAATATTAATTTTTTTATTCGTACAAAAATATTTTGACCGGGACTTAGCTACCGAGGTGCTTGTCGAGCGAGTATGGGAGGCTCTACCAAAAAAACGCTATGCCAACTTCATCTACAAGTGTAGTTTGTAGGTTGATCGACCTATTTTTATTAGACATGAGGTTTGGGATGCGTGAAAACAAAATTTTATGAGACTCGATTGTATAGTTTGTTCGAGCAAACATCATAAAATCGATTGTCGAAGATCGATGGCCATGGTGTGGGGCCTTTCGGACATACGAGAGGGGTACATATCCGTAGTAGAGCATGCCTATCGCTTTATAAATTGCATACTTTTTATTATTAATTACATATTTTAGAAAATTTTAATTTTTGTCTCATATTATTTATGATTTTTTTTTTTCAGGAGGTAAGATTTAGCTATGAGCTAACGAGTTTTGAGGTTTTTTAGATGACTCACAAGCGACGAGATTGTTATTTGATCGATTTACGCTCCTAACAAATAATGGTAAGTGTTTTTCATTTTAAATTTTAATATATGGAAAGATAATCTAAAATTTATTTTAATCTTATAATGATTTTATTATTTTGATTACGTAGGAGCATGTTGAAGAGCTCATCTAGGAGATAGTTACGATGCGACGAGGCGCAAGGAATCCCGAAACCAAAAGTTGACAAGAATGCCATATATCTCGAGGTTGTCGGGGAGAAAAAGAAAGGGTAGATGATGTAAGCACACAAGCGGTGCATTACCTATCTTAGTGAGGTGATAGTAGCTCCTCCTCTACGTCGTCGCATTACACCATCGATCCTGCTAATGACACGTTTCGAAAGGACTACGACGTGACAAAAGAAGCGATGAAAGGGATATAGATCGAACAAGACAAGCTTCAAAAGCGGTCGAGGAGCAAAAGAGCACCATAGATAGGCTTAACTTTCGGTATGAGATGATGATCTCCTTAGTGATGAGGTCGGCACGGATAATCGGGTTGCCTATAGATCCGTCTTTCGGTCGGGACTCCACCGTTCCTCTCGTCTAACATCTCACCCAATCTCCCGCCAAGCCCCGCACCCAATATCCGGAGGATAGGGATTAGATGAGTAGGATGAGTGATAACATATTTTGTTATTTTGTTTTTTTTATCATACGTACTACTGAATATTGTTATTGTTAATATTGATTTATATTTAATTTATACATTATTTCTTGTAATTGTTAATTATTACATACAATATTAATAATTTAAAAAAAAACAAACAAAAGAAAATGTAAAAAATATTTAATTTTTTTGGAAGAAATTAATTAGCGATGGATTATCGAAAAAATCCTTGCTTGTAACGACGGATACCGACGATAATTAGCAATAGAATAGAGACCTGTTTAGCGACGACTCCACTTAGCTTCGAATATTAGTGATGGTATGTCGGTCATTAATCGGCGACGGTTGTAGTGGCGTTAGACACGATGGGTCTCGCAACCAAAATAGCGATGGATTTTTAAAGTATAGTGACAAAATTTTTGTCATTGATATAACGATGAAAAGTATTTTTTGGTCACTAGTTTTAGCGACGAGATAAAATTTTTTGTCGTTATGTCGTCGCTAATTATGCGTTTTTTTGTAGTGATATATTATATTATATATTTTTATTGATTAAAATTAATCTTTTAAATTCGTCATTTATTTTAAAAATTCTTATCAAATTAAATTTTTAATTTTTTTTAATAAAATTTTGTTTGTTAATAAATATGATTTATCTTTTTTCGTGTATGAAGTTTTAATTTTTTTTAAATAATTAATAGAATTCACGTGTTTCTTTACCTTATTCTTGATATAATCAATTTTTTGGGAATAAAATTTTAAATTATTTTTATTACACTCTATTAACTTCAATATATTTCTTACGGCTTAAGTTTTTTAAACCTATTTTTTAATTTAGACGAGTCTATGGCGATAATGTATACAAAAAAGTATTGAGATCATTGATTTTTAATAAAATTAATTATGCATCTACACATATAATACCAACTATTTTCTATTAATTATTTTTAATATTGTAAATTTAATCTATTTAAAATAAAATAATAATATAAAAGAATCATCTAATAATTCAAATGCATATTTTTATATAAAATATTATTGATTGTTTTGTGGGTGTGTGTAAATCAAATGTACATATTGTTAAAAAGTTTAAAAAGATTCATTAGTTAATTTTTATACAAACTTTTACATTGATTGTGACTATATTTCTTCGATGTAGTCTTATGAAAAAATATTAAGATATTTTTAAAATTTTCTATTAATTTTATAATAGGTTTTTATTTAAGAAAGAATAAATAACAAAAAAACAAATCGTGCTTTTTTAGCAACAAAATGTATGAGAAACATAAAGAAGAATGAATGAAATACAAAATTTGCTTAAAAATTATGAAATTAAATGGAATTTTTATTTTTTATTTTTAATTTAATATATATTAGTAGATTGATAACGTAATATAGATTATTAAATTAAATTAAATATATTTAGTTCGATTTGCTGATTAGGGTAAGAAATTATTCAGTACTAACTAATTGAACATGGATAAAGTCTTTCAAACAAGAAAACAAATGATTTTTTTTTTTAAAAAAAGAAGTACATGCACCGCAATTTTCTTCGTCGTGTCTACCCTATAGATTTTTCTAATAACTCACAATGTTATAAAAAGTACAGTAAGTCTGAAAAAAAGCCATGAAATGTTTGCTTCCTAATTGACATTAATTATATTTCAAGAATATAACAGATGAATAGTTCTAATTACATCTAAATTAAAATGATTTTTAGTTAGGGCATAATAAGAAAATCAATCGGTTAATACCTTGAAAAAGTACGACAAATTTGAAACTTCTGAAAAATAAAAAGGAAAAGTAGACAACCTATGTGGAACAGATTCAGTACTGCATTCTCGAACTTTTTGTTGCATTCTTAATATATTAGCTTTTTAGCACGTGTTTTGCATGTGTATCACTGGATTATTATAGAATATTTTTCTATAATCTCTAATAGATTATTTGGAATTATTTATGAGTAAATATTTTTAGCATTTATTAAATTAAAATATTTGGTTTTTAAAATCTGAAAAATTTTATATAAAATTTGATAATTTTTAATTAAATTAGTTTGTTGAGTTTTAAAACATATAAATAAAATTTGATCATATTAAAATAAAACTAGACATACAATAGTTAGTAGTTAGCATATATACTTGTCTATTTATGATGATTTGTAATTAATTTTTTTTAAAATAACAATCACTAAAAAATATTTACCAATTTATTTATTATAAAGATAGAAATTGGAAATATATTTTTCATATCACATGTTGCTATAAGAAAATCCCACATCTTTCTTTTTTTCTTTTTTGCTAAGATAGAAGATATAAAAAGAGAAAAAGAGTTTTATTACTTATTATAATGTTCTATTTATGTTATCTGAATATTTAAAGAACATTATGTGAACAAAATTTCTATTCAAGATCATACGAACTTTTGATACGATAATATTGCATTAAAACGAATCTTTTTATTTGAAAAAAAACATTTTTTTATAACATATTATGTAAATAGAACATATAACCTGAATAAAATTTTATAAATTTTATTTTAATAAATAATTATAAAAATTATAAATTTTTATGGATGATTTTATTCAAATAAGTAAAAAATAATACAAGATAATAAAATAAAATCGTATAAAAAATTGATATTTTTATCTAATGCATAGGGTTATTTGAACTTGATACTTTTGACCCAACTCCATATAGTAGTAATCAAGTCCTAGTCCAGTATCAACTGCCATAAATAAACCCTCCACAGATTTCAATTCTCTTCTCCTCAAAAACAGCATCTCAAAACCAACAGAATTATGCCACGTGATACCCACCTGCTTCCAATGCATCCACTTAGCTAACCCTTTAAAACCAATCTTAACTCTATCCAGTAGATTAATATCACGCTCACGCAGGCTTTTTCCCCTCCATTCAAAATATCGTGAATTAATCGGCGACCCTTTCCTTCCTAGAAACTGCCACTCTCAGTTTCCACTCTCCTCAACTAACTCCAAAAAGTATGAAATTTTTTATTAAAAATTAAGCTCAAATTCACTCTAAATAAATCCCAAACCCAAATGCACTCCAAATTCTCGCCCCCTTCCTCTTATCCCCTCCCTTTCTCCTCCTTTTTCCTCCACCACCACAACAACCTCTCTCCCTCCCTCTCTAAAACAAAGCCCCCAAGAAAATCAGTCACTTGCTTCCTTTCTCTAGAATAAACTCGCTCTCTCTCTCTCTCTCTCTCGGAAGCAAACTTTTTAATCCGAACCCTATCTTCCTTTATAAAAAAAATAATTTTCTTTTTGGGATGACTGATTACCGTCTACCGCCGACAATGAATCTATGGACGGACGACAACGCGTCTGTAATGGAAGCATTTATGAACTCCTCCGATCTCTCTTCTCTTTGGGCACCGCCTCCGCAATCGTCCGCCTCCACTTCCACGCCAGCAGCAGCAGCAGCAGCACAGCCATCTGAGAAAAATATGTTGAGCCAAGAAACACTCCAGCAACGCCTTCAAGCATTGATTGAAGGCGCGCGCGAGAGCTGGACTTATGCAATTTTCTGGCAATCCTCATATGATTATTCTGGCGCTTCCATCTTAGGATGGGGCGACGGATATTATAAAGGGGAAGAAGATAAAGGCAAAGCTAGAATGAAAAATTCTGCATCGTCAGTTGCTGAACAAGAGCACCGTAAAAAGGTGCTCCGTGAGCTGAATTCGTTGATTGCTGGGCCCAATTTTGTTACCGATGATGCTATTGATGAAGAGGTTACTGATACCGAGTGGTTTTTTCTTGTTAGCATGACTCAGTCTTTTGTTAATGGAAGTGGGTTACCTGGTCAAGCTCTTTTCAATGGGAGCCCGGTTTGGGTTGCTGGGTCGGAGAGGTTGGGGACTTCGCCGTGTGAAAGAGCCAGGCAGGGTCAGGTTTTTGGTTTACAGACTTTGGTTTGTATACCGTCGGCCAATGGTGTTGTTGAATTGGGTTCTACCGAATTGATTTTTCAAAGCTCGGATCTGATGAATAAGGTTAGGGTTTTGTTTAATTTTAATAGTTCTGAAGTGGGTTCATGGCCGATTGGAACAACAAATACTGATCAGGGTGAGAATGATCCATCTTCGCTTTGGCTTACTGATCCAGAAACTAAAGATGTAAATGGTGGGATGCCCTCAAGTGCCGCACATCAGAACGGAAATCACCATAACAACAACAACAACAACAACAACAATAATCATAGTTCCAATCCCAGTTCGAGTAGTTTGACCGACCATCTGGGCGGAATTAATCAGGTTCAGAATCATCAACAGCAGCCGATGCATACACAGTCTCTTTTAGGCCGAGAGTTGAATTTTGGGGAGTACAACACGTACGATGGGAGTAGTGTTAGAAATGGGAATTCCCATACGATGAAGCCAGAATCTGGAGAGATATTGAATTTTGGGGAGAGTAAGAGGAGTGCTTCCAGTGCAAATGGGAATTTCTATTCGGGTTTGGTGACAGAGGAGAGTAATAAGAAGAAGAGATCACCTTCTTCAAGGGGTGGTAATGAAGAGGGGATGCTTTCATTTACTTCTGGTGTGATTTTGCCTTCTTCTGGTGTGGTGAAATCGAGTGGTGGTACAGGAGGGGATTCAGATCACTCTGATCTCGAGGCTTCGGTTGTAAAAGAGGCGGATAGCAGCAGGGTTGTGGAACCGGAAAAGAGGCCACGAAAACGAGGAAGAAAACCTGCGAATGGAAGAGAAGAGCCTTTGAATCATGTTGAAGCAGAGAGGCAGAGGAGAGAGAAACTTAATCAGAGGTTTTATTCTCTACGAGCTGTGGTTCCTAATGTCTCAAAGATGGACAAAGCTTCACTTCTTGGTGATGCCATATCGTATATCAATGAGCTTAGAACGAAGCTGCAATCTGCTGAGTCTAGTAAGGAAGAGTTAGAGAAGAAAGTGGAATCGATAAAGAGGGAGTCAGTGAGCAAGGATTCAAGTTCTCCACCCAATCAGGAGCTCAAGATGTCAAATAACCAGGGAGTTAAACCAATAGACATGGATATTGATGTGAAGATAAGTGGATGGGATGCAATGATACGAATCCAATGTTGTAAAACGAACCATCCTGCTGCTAGGCTAATGTCGGCCTTGAGAGACTTGGACCTTGATGTTCAGTATGCCAATGTGTCTGTGATGAATGATTTGATGATCCAGCAAGCCACAGTGAAGATGGGTAGTCGGTTTTACACGCAAGAAGAGCTCAGGGTAGCCATATCAACAAAAGTTGGTGGTGCTCGATAGGCATTGAACAGAGCAATAAATGCAATTACCAGTTGGGATAGATCTTGGTAAAGATTATAGGTCCCGAGTTTCTTTATTAATGCTGTAGGTTTCTGGGACGTTTTAAGGATCCCTGGGTAGCTCAAGCTCTGTAAAATAGTATTATCCCTTGTTCTTTCCTTGTAGCTGTTTATAATTCTGAGGTTGGGGTAATTTAAATTGAGGGGCTGAACTAACGAGCAATGTAGATTTGTGAGACTCCAATCAAGTGAAGATAGCTATTTTTGTGTTTATTTACTGTATGTCTTTGATGTGTATATTTAAGCTAAAACGTGATCAGTTTTCTGGGTTTGACTCACGTGTATTCTGATATTATTCTATCAAACTTGAACGAAGGAGAAGGTGAATAGTATTTCCGTAATTTGTTATATTGAGTAGGTATTAGATTTTTCATTTGTCATGGGAGTTATTCATACGTATCCCCTGTCAAGACAGGCTTGAGTTCTGGATTTTGCAATCTTCAGCTCTTGTTTATCGTTGCAAGGTTGCGTTGAATCTCCTTTCCGAAGGACTCAAAACCGAAAATTTTGTGCTGTGCCGAAGGGTATCTACAATTTATTCAAAAGGAATTTTTATGTTGGAAATGCCTTTTCTAAAATTCTAAAGCTTTATTATTCTCGTTTTGAAGCAACATAATTTTGGCCCTTTTTCTCCGGCATTCCTGGCTTGGAAATGCCAAATTAATGCTACTTGCTATGATGAATAACACCACATGGACTTCTGGAGTGTGGTTGAGGAACATAATTAAGGAGTTACCAGACATGACTATAGTTTCAATTATACATCAACATTTCCTTGTACACAACATGCATGGAGATTACAGAGAGAAAGATATCTGTTTTACATAGCAAGCCCATGTTTTAGGACTTATCTAAATAAAGATAGGGTTTTGGGACCATTGGTGCTAACACCACATGATTGTCTTTTTCTGCTTTGGAATCATTAATTCAGCTTGCTACAGTTGCTGCCATTGGCCCCTCTCCTTAGTTAACTTTCAGGTTCTCCTTACTTCACTTAAAATTAAGTTACGCGATTTCACGTGGTGGGCTAAGCAGAATAATGTTTAACACATGGTTAAATGTCTTGTAATCGTGTAATAGAGAGGGCATGAGAAATGTCAACAAGGTGATGCAAAAAGACAACCGGAGACGTAATGTGGGACTTGGCTGACGTGGGTTCCTTGAATGTAATGGTGGCTGGAAAAGTCGATCATTTACAGAAGTTTGCGATCTACATCATTTCAACTTTCAAAATATTCTATGTTAATAAAAAAAAAAAAACAGTAGTTAGAGATACGTTGATTCGCAACGAAACGTATTGCATATGAATTTCGGCTATGGATCATTGATACACTTCACACATATAGGATTCTGAGTTGAGTTCCCCAGTTTAAGTTGAGAGAGGGATATGCTTGCTGACGCTAACAACAACAACAACAACAAATAAAAAATAAAAAATCAAAAATCAAAACCCATTTGGATTGACAGAAACTACTGCATACGGTTGTGTACTGCAGTTCCATCCTGAAGAAGCAGTACAAGATTTAATAAAACTTTTTCTAACGAAAAAGAAGAGAATGGGAGTTAATTAACAACATCCACGAGAATCGCATGCCTTCCAGCTTGCATGACCAAGAAACCATGATTACCCAAAGGGGTAGTGAATCCCTTCGAACGTGTGCTTGGCCGAATTGTGAAAGATGCAATGCATGTGATCAATCTGTGTATACACTTACTTTTTTCCTTTTCCTTTTTTTTCCCCCTTCGAAAGCGTAAAGAAAAATAAAAAACAAGCCTTATTATGATTCCTCAGTTTTGCTGCACTTAAAAGTAGGTCCTTCCCTTCTACAAACCATGTGAAACATAAAGCATCCTACAAAATCCAGGATTCTTATGCAGAGTATTTGTGTGTCTCAAATCAAGCCGCTTGGTACGCTTTATTTTGCACAATTTAATGCTCAACCGAAGTAGATCAATCTGGGCCAAATGTTGCAGGACTATATATATATATATATTCAGGTCGGCAATCAAAGCAGAAAGCAAGGAAATGTATGGAATTAGTCGGAATAAAGTTAGATTTCAAGAATCGAATGCAATATTAAAGAGAGATTAGGAATCTTGTTTAATTACCTAAGATAATAAAGTGGAAATACATTTTAAAAATCTTCGTCGTGTGTTGGGTCGCAATCAACACCAACACCGAAATGAATATCATTAATCAGTTCATTGATCAAGAGTTGAGATGCTTTCGTTGGTTAATATGCTAACCTTCTTACAAAATCAAAAGATTATCATAAACTTTTTAACCTTTTCTCTTTATAAAGTCCATGCCATCTTTAACTTAGTCACTCCACTAGCTGTATTTGGCACTGTTATAAGCATTATCATTGATTGGGATCTCTTAGTTATTTGCATTTGGACATACAAGTAGTTTCATTAAAGAATATTAAATAGGATTAAGCTGCTTGCATTAGTTTTCACACTCTATTGAGAATTCATCTTCACATCAACTTGATAGGCTCTCCATATATAATATACATGCATCAAGGATTAATCATCAATCATTAATGTACCTTCAACTCTCACTATATATGTTTTTTTTTTTTTCTTTTTTTAAGGTTATAAGAGTAGCCTAGAAGTGTCAAAATTCAGTGCTCTAGTTTGGTACTTGATGCCCCGTCGCTTCAAAAGGTGAAGAGAATCATATAGCCCGCAAAATCTCTCAGTCTTCACACTCAATGATTCCATGGCTAGGTTGAGCAGTACTATTGTGAAAGGAATCCCATACCAATGATTCCTTAATTGAATAATTCTTTTCTACAAATGCCCAAATTACATGCTTCTTGTCCAACTCCTTTAAAGTAGGGTGAGTCGTCAGGTGTGTGATTATTTTATGTATTTTTTTTTTCGTTAGGAGGAAGGGTCAAATATAGAATCATGTCACTTCACCGCCTCACACATCCTAATATCTTTCTAATAAGTTGCCATGTCAGTGTGAACTTTATTAAAGTTTTGAAGGTAGCTACCACAATTTAAGGAATAATAACATCCATTACATCTCATGATGTAATTATAGTCAAAATCAGAGGTGGATCGAGTGAAGATTCAAAAGTCGTTGACAGCCCTAATTTCTGGCGTACCTGTCTTTCCGGGCATCATTAACGACCATGGTTGTTCACTAATTAACCACTTTAAGCGTCTCCCTTCCTAACCTTCACATTCCCCACATCCTATTGACACATTACCATTTTAATCTCTCAACCCAGCTTCGTGATCCTTCTCCCTGCAACCACCCTAAAACTCAACCTAAAGAGCCTCAACCTTCTTGCAAATTAAAGGGATATATACACACAGACATCTAAACATGAGCCTCAATTGTCTTAGCTGCCAAGACTTGCAAAGGAGTGGTTCTGAGAGGGAGTGGTTGCAATGTAAATCGCATCGAAATAAACTGAGTTGCATTAAGGAGGAAAGAAGCTGGTCAGGAAACTTGAGCCTGCCATGTTATGGGGAAATGGGGAGAAATTCTACCGCGGTTGCTGCAAGGAAGGTGATCAAGAAAGAGCCTCGCCGGTTAAACAGTACAGGAGGCGTTGCGTTCAAGGGATGTGAAGAGCCAAAGTTGGTGAGGAGCTCTGGAATGAGAAGGGATTGGAGCTTTGAGGATTTAAGAAAAGCATGTAACAGAAATTATTGACATAACATATGTGTATGCGTGCTAATTGCATCTTATTAATTTAATATTTGTTGTGTTGATTTTCCTCTTGCTTGAAATTCTTGTATCTAATGAATGGAGTAGAAAATGCAATTAGTAGCTTCCAAATTCACATTTTCATGCTGATAACTATTTTGTTTGCGTTGCATTAAATTAATAAGAATACGAGGATTTTCTCACCAACGATTTCTCCATGTACGAATGCTCATTCACATTTTGCACGAGGACGGTGGGAGATTGGAGGATTACTATTTACAGACGAAATGCTGGTGAAATGAGGTGCAATGATGAAAATGTCCTTCTATATTTTGCTTACCAACTATCACCCCAGGTGATGTGCTGCCGTAAGATTATTTTTGTCGGGGAAAAAAAGTGGCTATTTGAACCTACCGTGGCGTAAATAGCTAAGTTGTGAAGGTTGATTCGTAGAGCTAAGATGAACCCAGCTTTCTAAAAAAAATAAAAATGTTTTGCATAAATTGGTTCAAATCAGAGTCTGTCTGTCCTGATCAGATAACAAATTTATGACATAGATCTCGGACATCAAATCTCAGCCATTTGGGATTTGGATATGTGCGGAAGATATTCTTGCTCCTACATGTTTTGGGGTCCATGTCCATATCCATGTGTCTTGGACTAGCGAAGACAAATATCGATCCCATATACGAATCAGTTTGGTTTCTAGCTCTCGCGGAGAGGTCAAACACAACCTGTTGGAACAGATACAGAGACGCAGTATAGGAACAATATCGGTTACTTATGTATTTGTAATTTAGTGTCCTACATCGCACAACAGATGAATTAAGCTGAACAGCTCGAGCCTTGAATCTTGTCTAACTCACCGGGCTCATAAAGAGAAGGAAACGCAAAGAGAGGAAAAATAAAACCTAACCATCAACTCTTCCTTAAATTGTAGTACTTGGAAGTCGCTTTGCAAAATAACTTGCCCAAGGAGAACAGAGAAGAGAACAAGGTGAGTAATTTATCAGATACAAGCAACGTCCTTGTAATTTATTTCTATCAAATACAATACACACACACTTATCCTATATATGTGTGTAGATGAGTAATGATCAGATACATGGATCCCCACCATTATGTGAAGTGAATAAGGTCCTAGAAGAGGTGGTCACTTGAAGTGCACGACCAGTATCAGTTCCGCCCTTCCTTATGATCGCCAGGGTCAAGGTAGGAACCGTCGGATCATCGTGCAAAAATTGATTGTGGCACCCTATTCAGGAACACAAGTCCCTGAATCTTTTATAAGCCATCTGCAAAATATGTTTCAAAACTTTCAAATCACTGCATTACAGCTACTTATTGTGAACAAACTTCCAGTTCTGATCGAAACAATCGGCAGTCCAAACTTATAATTAATCCCGAAAAGCATTGATCTCAGATATTGCAAAAGCATGAGCCATCATCAACGTTCTGGTAGGGAGGATGGACCACTGCAGGTTACAGCCACTACTTGCAATGTAACTACCATCATCAACCATTGTATGGCAAGTCACAAAGTAATATATATATATATATATTGGAATATTCTTAAGAAAATTTCAAAAAAGTGACATAAATGGAGTTCAAAGACACCTTTTGGTTTCAAAATAGTATGCATGGATAAACTGTTCTCACACAAACCCACAGAGTTTGCACTTCTGCCAAAAGGGAGGGGAATAATACCTTGAAGACTGGATGATAAAAGCATTACAAAGAATTTAAAAGGAACTGTCTGCGTATATGAATTTAAAACTATATGAAAACTTTGTCCATTCATGGATACTATCCCCTTAGGTCCATCCATAAACAGATTGCACAGATTGACCAAACAATTGCATTAGCAATTCTCTCTCGGATAATGTACCGTAAAGGAATAAAAATGGAAATGAAAAAGAAAAAAGATCAACTTCACAATTGATATTAACCATATTAATGGGATGAGAGGTTCACGATCGTGAACTCTTTTCCTAGCAATAAAACACTGAACGTTCTTGAATCATAAGAGGGTACAACTTCCAAGAATCTTACCCTATTATTACTCCAAAAAAAAAAAAAAAAGATATCGGACACAAGATTCATCTTCCTATTCCCATGTATAAAGGCATGAAAACACAGAAGTATCGCCCTTACATGAATAAAGTTTCACATTTCGTGTTCAGCAGTGGATATAGCAATTCTCAAACTTGTATGCACAATGATGTTACACTTTACATTAGAGTCATCACATATTACCATCATTCCTGAACACTGACCTGACCTTAAAATTAAGGCAGGATTCAAGGCTAAGATTCTGATATTTGATATTCTTCCTGCAACAAAACTGACGGTCAGCAATTGTTAACTTGCTGGCTATATCCTTGATGTCTCCCATCCTATCTGTAATAGCAGAAGCTGCAAAAGTTACCGAACGGAAAAAGACAATAAAATCTCCTACTCATGTATAAACAATCTGCACTACCACCCTAGTATAAATCAGTGAGGCCAGCCATCAGAAATCACTATTCTCCACAATCATTATCTGCTGATAAAAAATGTCTGCAAATTCATTAAACCCAACAACCACTTTTAGGTTTTTTACTTCTTGCCTCTGCCTTCCAATCTCTTCGACCAAACTTGGTCTTACCTGTTTCACTGCTCCACAAGCTAACAGAATTCTTGGAATGAATTTTCCTCTCTTGAGGTGGCCCCATCATTATTCCAGGGGCAGGGCAGACAGTCTGACTTTCAATATTTAAGGGCAATGCAGAAATAACAGCAGCATTATGTGTTTCTTCCAAATTCTTACAAGCATGAGCTCTTCTTGCATCTTTTTTCCAATTTCTTTTACAAGGAATAGGTGTTATATAATTATTATGATGCCTATACAGTTCCACTTCTACTTGTGGTGGTCTTGGCTGGTTTGTCACAGAGGCCTTCTTCATATCTGCTTCAAGGCGTTTTCGGGCCCTGTATCTACGTTGCCGTTCACGGTTCTTCATACGTTTAGTAGTAATGTCATTATGGCTTTTGGAGGTCTCTTCTCCATCAAGTGTCTTCATCATAAAACTATCTTGTATTGCAGAAGAATTCATAATCTGCCCATTCTCCATTTTGCATAACAATTGTCAACTGCAAAGAAAAAGATTAAATAGAGATGGAAATCAAACTATGGCTCAGTTTATAATTTTTTTTAATAAGCAATTCATGTTTCATACCGGAAATTATGCTTTCTGGTTCATGCAACATCCAAGTGCTTATTGTTCCATTATCTATTTAGTCAAGAAATAGAGAAAGGATTGCAATATCTGTACATGCAACACCACACTATTCAATTGGAGTTATACAGCACTGTGAACTTATTGAAACCTATTAACATTCTAAAACTTGAACAAAGAGAACTCATTTTCAGTGACTTGATATGCATGATACTTAGAGAAAAACTTTCTTTTTCCTCAGCATCTATCCAAACTGATGGAGCACTGCATCCAAGATATGTTTCCCAAATATTGGTTTCAACTTTTAGAAGACTATAATTTTAAGACTCTATACAAAACTTTAATTTTAAGATCATATACACAAAATTCATGTCCAAGATACCGTGACTTTTCAATAGCAAAAACATAATGATATAGATCATAAATGAAAGCATCCAAACAAAGCTATTAACGATTTACCATACAAAATGAAACCAGGTCCTTACATACCTTAGAAACATAACATAATGCATCTCCATGATGCTAAACTACACATAATATGTACATGTAATTCACATAAGCAATCAAGCAAAGTAGTGAATGATTCAACTTTACAACACAAACACAACAATAGCTCCTTAAATGCTTGTCGTACTAATTGTCACGTGTACTCAATGGTAGCACATCAAGTAACATTATAGAAACATAATTGGTAGAGAATTTATTCATTTACCTTATAATTGACAACATTGTTGGGAGTCAACTGGAAGAGTAACAGATAGATTCCAACAAACAATTCATCTCAATCCCCTATTTTCATTGAATCTTAAGAGATTCTATCCGTCCACACTTGCTTAAACACATTAGCATAAACAAATCCATCATAAACCTCCTAAACAAAACTTGAAAAGCTATAATGGGTTTATTTAAACTTACGTCATACAAACACAGGCAGGCACACCCAGTAGAAACATTTATACAGTAAGCAGTAAATCAGCTATGACAAGTTAAAGAGAAGCCTTAAAGCAAACAATTTTGGATTCAAAAGCAAGAAAAGAAGGTTTTTCAAAAAAGAAAAAAAGTAAAAGTTGCTTTGATTAATAGGGAGGGATCAGTAATCCAAGCTCAAAAAATGAATAAATTTGGTGAAAGAGAGAAATTAAACAGTACCTCTTTAAAATGCAGCAGTTGGCTAAGATAAGAGTTTTTCGGAAATTTGGGGTTTGTGAATTGTGATTTGATGAAGAGGTACGCGTGGAGGTTGATTGTTACGTGGTGTGTGTAAGCGGGAACTGTGAAAGCAGTGACTGTCGGATTTCGGAACGAAGCAGGGCCTTGTCCTTGAGGCCGTTTAGGACTCCGAAGTTCGATGCTACCGAGAAGCAATGAAGAATAGATTCCTTGGTATTGATGCACGCGCTATTGTTGTTTAATGTTAATCAACAAAAAATATAAAACAACGTCACGAAGTGGGGTGGTGGCGCAGTTGGCTAGCGCGTAGGTCTCATAGCTTCTGAGTTATCCTGAGGTCGAGAGTTCGAGCCTCTCTCACCCCATTCGTTTTGGTCTTTCCAACCATTAGTGTTAATGAAAATATTGAACTTTAGTATTCTTAAAATTTGTTCTTAAAAGAAGGGTATGGTGCATAGAAATATCAGTAGAGATACACGTGCGTGGTGCATAGAAGTAGCATAACAACGCATGCATACCTTTTGAGTTTTTACTAGTAAAAAGTAAAAACTCAAAAGGATATCCTAATTCTTGGTACTTTATTCCATTAGCTTATTTAATGGATTTTATTCTTAATTTTTTTAATTGGAATTATTTATTTATTTTTTGTTTGACTAAAATTATTTATTCATCTAGTTTTATTTGGGGTTTTCTATTATGATGTTATTTATTTTTAATCTGATTTGATATTTTATCGTTAAACTTAATCTATAAATAATGTTATTTATTTTCACGTATGATTTATATGATGTATAAAAAGAGCATAACACTCAATTTATAAACACAATAACGTGGTATGTGTTAAAAAAAATAATTAAAAAATAAAATAATATTAAAAAAGTTGAAAAGACCAATATCTCCTAATTATTTTCCGACCCACATTTCACACACCCATCAATCATCGAATTTCATGAAATCAAATCCTTCTTGTGTATTTTTGAAAATGACTACCAATTAAAATTCTATCTTCAGATTGCACATGTACATTTATCAACGAATTCCCAGAAATCAAGTTTTTACTAGTTAAAGTTGCTTAAGAAATCCTAATTTTTGGTACTTTATTCCATTAGCTTGTTTAATGGATTTTTCTCGTATATGGACATCTTTGTTTTTAATTTTTTTATTAAAATCTTTTATTCTTTTTTTTTGTTTAATTAAAATCATTTATTCTTTATTTAGTTTTGTTTGAGATTTTTTATTATGATGCCCTGTTTATTTTTAATCTGACATGATATTTTATCATTAAACTCAATATATAAATGATGTTATTTATTTTCACATATCGTTTTGCATTTTGCATAGAAAGAGCATAACACTCAATCTATAGAAACAATAATGTCGTATGCATTAAAAAACAATTAAAAAATTATTTAAAAAATAAAATAATACAAAAAAGTTGAAAAGACCAATACCTCCTAATTATTTTCCGACCCACATTTCACACACCCATCAATCATCCAATTTCATGAACTCAAATCCTTCTCGTGTATTTTTGCGAACAACTACCAACTAAAATTCTATCTTCAGATTGCACATATACCCTTATCAAAGAATTCCAAGAATCAAGTTCTTTTCTCCATTGGAATGCAATCAAATACCATACGTGCCAAGTCAAAATTTCCACCTTTAAAAGATCCATCAATCAACAAATCATACAAAACTGAGTCTTTCTTTGACATTATATCAAACATTTTGGCGGGCATATACAAGATGCCCACATTTTACACACAGAGAAATCAAACAACTCTGCAAAAAAAATAAATCAGACTCAAATTCCAATTTCTTCAGTAACCCATGAATCTGCATTCCTTCCTTAACCAAACCCACTCGAGATCATGCTTTCAAAACCAGAGACAACATGAACTTATCCAAAGAAGGTTCATTCTCAAGCAATAAAGAAACAGGCCATAAAGCCTCTTTTGGGTCAAGCCCATGAGAGCACGTTTTGATTATAGCATTCCAAAAAAAAGGTCTCTGTGCTTCTTCTTGCTCATTGAATTCAAAAGTTTAATGTCAGAACAAAATATACATAGTATGTAAAAAAATTATTTCAATTCAAAAATATCAAATTATTAGATGAGACTTCATAAAAGATTTTATATTATTTTTTAATACATCTTTTTAAAATAATTTTTTTTTAGATTTGAAACTTGTACAGATTTCTCAACTACCTTATATTTAATTATTTAATTGCAAAAAAAAAAGAGATGATGAGATTAGAACTCGTGATAGATTGTTCATCAAGACTCTAATACCATATCAAATACCTTATATTTAATTATTTAATTGGTACATACTTCTCAACTACCTTGTATTTAATTAGAAAAGAAAGAAGAAATGATGAGATTAGTACTTGGTGGTGATTGTTTGTTTACCAAGACTCTAATATCATCTCAAATAACTCAAAAGATTAATCATGACCCTTTTTTACGGTCTTCAAAACAAATTCAATGAGTTGTGCATGTAGTGAGGTGAAAATGAGAGTATGATTTTGGAGGTTAAAAGTATGTCTTTAAAAGCAGTTGTTAGTAGTCTTGTATTAATTTGATTTATGTCGTATAAGGTCTTACATTTTCTTAAGGAGAATTAAAATTAGGATATTCAAATTCCGTGGTTGGTTTAAATTTGCCAAAAAAAAAAAATCGTAAAAATTATTATTTAAACCATTTACTCTTCTTCTGTGGTTGATGATGAATTGGGTTGAAAATAATTGAAGTTAGAAGGGATTGGTCTTTTCACCCATTTTTTTTGGTATTATTTAAATTATTATTATTATTATTATTATTTTTTTTTTGTAATAGATGGGTTATTATATTTTGAGATCTACAATGGCACATGTTATTTATTCATAAATTGAGCCTGAAGGTAACATATTCTGTCAAATTAAAAATAAACAGGGTCATAACAAAGAGTCTCAAGTAAAACTATATGAAAAAATAGAAGATCTCAATCAATTTAGAAAAGAATAAAGAATCTCAATTAAAAAAAAATAAAATCAAAGAATAGTAGGTTCATATGTAGAGAAAATCCTTTAAATTATCCCTTGCAAGCTTGTTGGCCAACGCAGTTTATCACTGATATTAAATGTATGTTTGAAATCAATTGTTAGTAAATGCCACGTGTGCTAAGCTATTGAAAGAAAATAGTGAATGTACGTAATAATTTTCCTTTTCCTTGCTTTAGTAATAAATAAATAAATAAATCCACTTCTTCTTTAGCTTGCTGTTGCCTGCAACCTGAAAATAATTTCATTTCACCTTTTAAATTGTAGTTTCGTCATACATGCTAGAAGGGTTTTGAAAAAATGAAACCAGCTATGTTGAAAATTCTATGGCTATTGTTATTTGCAAGATTCATGGTTAAAATTGAGGGTTTTTTTTTTTTTTGAAGGTTAAATGTATCTTTTGATAGCTAAAATATAAATGGAGATTAAGTTTCATTTTCTTACGATTTTAAGAGCTCATCGTTTCTATCGGCACGTGCTTAAAAAAAAAATCTGTAAATATTAATTTTAGAATCTAGTTTAAGTTCATAATTAGTCTTGTCGAATGTTTAATTAATATCCCACTAATTAGTTATTTGGAGAAACATATATCTATTTCAAGAAGTTATAAAACTAGTTTAAAAAAAGAAAAAATTGTAATCATTTCGAAAAACAACGTATGTATAGGCAATCCAAAGACATT